AGGAGGATTGCCATGAGTTTAAGGCTAGCCTGGGCTACACAGTGGGCTGAGAGACTGCCTGAACTACACAGCGAGACCCTGTCTCAAAAAAAAATGTGATTTCTATGTTTCAGGCTCTTCCTTATGTTCTGCTCTCTCTCAAACACTATTAGGATAATTACTTTGATGATGTTTTCCATTTCATTAATGCTCTTTTCGCCTGTGTCTAATCTACTGTTCAGCAGTTTTACTTCGATGACTGCACTTGTTATCTCAGGAAGTGCTTCTCGGTTCAGTTATTCCTGGATAATTTATCATGTCTAGTCACCATACTCCCTTTAATTTATTATTTTTGTCTTTATGTATTTAAGATAAAAATTTTAAAGAGAAACTGAAACCAACAAAGAAAGAAACTGGGTTTCCTATATATGTCTGTATGAAAGGAACAAAAAATATGAGAAGAGGAGGCAACAAGAAAGGGTCCTCAGTCCCCAATACTGAGAACACTGATCCAGGAAAGATAAATGTAAAGGAGAATGAGGACAGCAAACATGCAATATCAGACATGGCACCAATAGACATAAAGCACTATCTCTGGAGCCTCATAGACAAGTTCAAAAGTGAAATATTTAACCAAGTAAAGCAAGATATAAATAGAATAATTAAAGAAATGCTAAGCACCTCCCAAGAAAAAAACAGATGGAAGAATGGAAGAACAAAAAAAAAGGGGGGGAGGAGGAATTGTTTGATGGAGAAAATAGGGAAAACATAGAATACATGAAGCAGGTTCAAAGAGATTACCAGGAAATCAAAAAGTCCACTGAAAGCTGGCAAAACTGCTTGAAAGAAACTAAGGATAGATTATACAAACTGGAGAACAGGTTTGCAATGTGGGAACATGAAAGGACAAAATTCTTAAAAATAACAAGGAAACAAGCAGTAACAATACAAATGCTGGTAGATGACAAGAGGATCTATAACTTAAAGAAAATGAATGAAGAAGCAGGGGTACAAACAAAGGAACTGCAAAGGAAGGCTATTTACAGAAATAATTAAGGAAAACTTCCCAAACAGAGAAAAAGGAAAAGATAACCAGATGTATGAGGCATACAGGATCCCAGCCACCTACAACCAAAACAGAACTGCACCCAGGCATATAATAATCAAGATCCCAGAAATCCAGTATAAGAACAGAATATTAAAAGCTGTCAGAGACAAGTAATGGATCATTTACAAGAGAAAACCCATCAGAATTATGGCAGACTTCTCAGCACAAACCACCAAATCAAGAAGAGCATGGGGCAAAATAATCCAAGCCTTGAAAGAAAATAATCTCCAGCCCAGATTGATGTATCCTGCACAACTGTCTCTAGAAATTAATGGAGAAACAAGATGCTTCAAAGACAAAGAGGAACTGGGGGAATTCAAAACCACCAATCCAACTCTACAGAGAATACTACAGGACATTCTAAAGAGAGAGAAAAGCACCAGGATTTCAGAAACAGTGGCAGAGAGGCCCCAATGAATGGAGCAAAAAGCGAAATCAGGAAGATAAACAGACAGCTAATGATGGAAAAAGAGCACAGCAGAAATGAGGCAGAGAAGGTTGGATATAATTTCTAATATAGATGGCCTAGAAAAAAGAGAGAATCACAGGCAGAGTGGATCAAGAGGTAGGGTCCACCAGGAGGCTCTTTATAAGAAATATAATTAACCTGAAGAAGGGTATATGGACCAAAATCAAATATGAGAAAACCGAACTCAATGTGATAGGGAACCAGAGAGTAATAGGGGCAACTGGACCAGTATTTATGGATAGGTTGAAAAGACAGGCTTTAATAAGTGCAGAAATACAACTAGAGATCAAGTCCAGGAGTGAGAAAGTTCGGAAACACTTAGGTAAATAGCAGGTTGCCACCCTCAATATGAAACCGAGAGTGTTGGGGAGACCCAAAATACACAGTACATCCTGGGGGAGTGAAAGGGGAGGAATAGTCTTTAAAAAGCCTATTCAGAAGATATTGCTAATACTGTATCAGGAATTAAAACCTTATTACTCACACTATTCTGCTTGGATGAAACTTGTTCTGTCCCAGTTTATATACAAGCACTAGATGTGAGGGTGCAGACAGCTGTCCTGAAAATATAAGGATATAGCACAATTTGCTATTAATTTAATCCAGATCCCTGTATGACTTATACTGTTGTATCATGATTGATCTTAGTTAAATCTGATTTGTTTGATTGCTGCTTGTTATTGACACATTTTATTCAAAACTGTTAGGTTGATGGTATCAAGTTGGAAAGTACAGACTATACTGAAAATGACAATGATTCACTATGATACCGATTGTGATTTGATTACTACCTGTTTATGTAGCTCTACACTATCTATAAAGTTGTATTTCTACTAATTCTGTTATGTACTGATATATTCAATTATACTTTATCTGATGAGATAGCCAATTCTGTTGGTAACGACAGCACAGTAACCATGGTAGAGCATGGTAGAGTGACCTTGTACAGCAGTTTTATATGTCTTTTTAGTTTTATGTGTCTATAGGAATATGTTTTCTTCTGTCCTGCTTCTGTTCTGTTTCTCCTTCTAATATAGAAAGGATAGATGTTAAGACTCATGCTTGCATAAAACCTATAAACAGTTTATGAGAACTGGTCTTATGACACATGATGAAATGAACAAATACTTTGAAGGAAAAAAAAAGTACCTAGTGCTGATTCCAGAGTGTCATGATGTGAAATCCAGCAATACTATTAATCTCTGTTCAGAATGATTTTAATCTGCTATGCTTTGTTTGGTCTCAACATAAATGAAGATATGGATAAATGCATACATGTCTAAGTGCATAGGATTGATAGCCATATTACTTAGTTTTTGCTGGATAATTGAACAGAACTGTTTGCAGTGTCCCTGATTGAATTCTCATTTATGTGTTCCATTTTTGGAGCTTGAACAATTATTTGTGGGGGGACAATACGTGTATATCAACTAGTGATTTATTACTGTTTATTTATTTTCTTTGAAAGTATGTACACATTTCTGCTGTTTTTTTTTTGTTTTGTCTTTCTTTAAATAAAATTTTTTAAAAAAGAATCCTAAAGATATCCTTTATAATTTCAATTTATGTAGTCCCAAGGAGGTCAACTGACCACTTTGTTCTTTCTTCCCACTGTCACTCACAGTATCTTTCAAAATTCTTTGTCACAGACCTGATCTGTGGACGTCCTGGAAGATCTACACCAAGTATGACTTTCTGCAAAAATAACCTGCATGTTCCTCCACAGGAATTTCAAGATACCAACCCAGGGCCACACTGAGACAGTTTATGTGAATCTAAGATTCAGCCCTGCAGAATGATAGAGTAGAGGTTTAATTCCTAGGGAAATGATTGTTTCTTCTTATCCAGAGATAAGTTAGAGACAGGCTGACACCGGATAGCCTCTCTGTGCAAGACAGGAGAGCTTTTCAGCTCACTGCTTTGCTGGAAGTAACTGTGTCCTGTGTCCTGGCTTTGGCTCAGAAACTATCAACATACATGGGATCTAAAATACATCTTAGATATCTTTTTCACACTTTGATATTTTAGATACCAGCTAGAACTCTTATGCACTACCCGTAAGAAAGCAAAATGGTTTGGACATTTTATAAAACATTTTATGAAGTTAAACATATATTTACTGTATAACTCAGCCATGCCACATCTATGTATTTACCTAACTGAAACAAAAACTTACATGCATAGAAAAACCTGCATGCAAATGTTCATAGTACCTTTATTTAGAAGGTGGAAACAACTCAAGTGTTCCTCAGTAAGGATTAGATAAACAATCCAACTATTCAAAGAATTGGAATTGGAATACTACTCAGCAACAAAATGGAAAAAAACTCTACAAGTACAGGAACCCTAGCACACAGACTTATGTAAATACCTATATACATGAAAAGGTCCATCTATACAACACTCTAGAAAAGGCCAAGCTAGGGTTAGAGGACAGATCAGTGGATGTTAGAGGGAGACTGAGGGTAAAGAGAAGGGCTGTCTACAAAGGGTATGGGGCCTTTTTTTTGAGGTGAGGGGATATTTTTTTATCTGACATAACAGGTGATGTAATTATACAAGTTGGGCAAAACTGCACATGGAAAGGAGAAAATTTTACTGCATGCAAACTCCACTTAGATTTTGTAAAAAAAAGGAAAGAGGAAATCCTGAAAGCTCCAAGTTTCTAGTACTGAGAGATGCTCTTCTGGATTTTATCTCCTCTGAGTATTTTATTCCTAAAATTTCCCTTCTTCTCAGCATAAAGATGCATTTTTAAAGATTTCTGTTGCATTTGATCCAGCACTTACAGGCATTTTGAATCAGGAAGACTTTTGTAATACCTGCTCTGCCATACTGCCAGAGGCAAAAGTCTATGATTCTTTAAAAGAACAAAACCATCTTAAAACTTTACGGTGTTTTTAGGGTTTTCAGTGCCTTTTATCACTGTAAATAAATTAGTTATCCTCTTTGAACAAAAAGACTAAAGCTCAGGCAAGCTGAGATTCATCCTCTATCACATGCACAGGCCTGGTTCTCCAGCTTGAATTAACATAGTCATATTCCACTGAGGGAAACCAACTCCAGTACCATCTAAGCTCCCAGCATTGGGAGATCAATAAGGCACATTCTGAGGATCATTTACATCCCAGATCATCCTTCCCAGCAGCACCGCAAGCTGTGTGACCATCACTTAGCTCTCTGCCTAATTTCAGAGCATCTACTTCACAGAGTCACTGTAACAATGAAATAAGTTAACTCATGTCAAGCACTCAGAAGAGCGTATGGAACATACTAAGTGTTCAATTAGCATCAAGAATTACTAGAGCGTGCCTTTCCTACTAAGGTAATTATATACACATCTCCAGTATTCATGTTGAGCAGTATACATGTGCACATATGGAAAAATATACATGTATGAAATGTATATGAATGAGTGAGTGAATGAATGAAAGTTAGGCTTACTTTGAATAAACTATGCTTCTGATTGCGCTGCCCAAGCCATAAGTTGCTTCCTGGGGGAAAGCTGGTCTCTGGAGGATCTATCACACGCTCATAAATCCTGTGGAGGCAAAGAACACTGTTACTCATGGACACGAAGCAGCGTGAACAGGTCCGAACACCGCGAAAGGACCCATGCCTGAGCTGTTGGTGCAGAGAAAGAGCCCGGCTTGTGGCAAGCAGTAAAGGTCAATGCAAAGCTCTGTTTCCTGACAGCCCTGGACACGGTATCTAGGCCTCTCCTGCTTTTCTCATCTCCCTTTCGGCAGGGGAGTGACCATGAGGGAAGCATTTTTCAGAGCCTACTCTGAACAATGAATGTCACACAAACCCTAAGGAAAGTGTTTTCGCTTCAATGTTACAGATAACAATGGGGAGGGTCAGAAGTGGTAAACAGGAGGGGAGACAGCATGGAGCAGTGGAATGAGGACAGTGACACTCACCTGCCTGGCTCCTCAGGCCATGCACTTCTCTCTCTGCACCTCACTGCTCCCAGACCTTGCTTCTTGCAGCTGCTCATCTCTACAGTAACCTGAGGCAACCCTCTAAGCAGCAGGGCAGTATCGGCCTATCTGACCCATGCTCAGCCTAAAAGTCTAGTCCTAAAGTCATCATCCAATCAAAAAACACTGATTGAGCCATATTTATATTTCCAACTCCTACATAGCCATGAGAAAATAGAGCAAGAAACCAGGTTCATAAAGCCCTGCCTCCATGGAGTAAAACTGAGACATTCTTCAGGGGAAAAAAAATCTTTATCTGAAACATTATGGGCATCTTCGTAATAGAAGATTAGGAGATCCAGAATCTGCGGAGATGCCTATTGAGCCTGCACAACAACGGGCTGTCTGAATGGTTACCAAGGTCCAGTTAAGTTAAAAGTGTTTAAATCCATACTGTTTGACAGTCCCCTGCAAGTACCTACAGATCACAAGCCTCTGTTTAACCCCAGGCAATCACCTCTCCGTTCCTGAAGCTCAGAGGCTCTTGGAGGCTAGAGCTGGAGCCATCTGTACATTTCAGTTTCCCACAGAGCCCTACACACTCCTGCTTTCTTCTGTCTCTCTGCAAAGCCCTGCTCGGGAGTCCTGCTCAGATGCATCCTGGTCAGGACCACCAATCTATCCTCTCGGCTGGGAGGGAGCTCGCTGTCTCCTGCCAGGGCTGATGGATGCCCCCCAGAAGCACAAGAACTTAAGATTGTGCAGTTGTGTCAAGGAAAGTGAGGGACTGGGAGCCACTGCAGGTGGGAGGGGTCACACTGCCTCTGTCCTGGGGTCTCAGCCACGCCCACTGCTCCACCCATCCACACCCCCACACCCCCACACCCCACTTGAAATGTGAAGATTCCTAGCAACAAGTAGGGGGTACCTTTAGGAACCTGACATCCATCACGTCTTTCTCCACCTATTACCTTCCCATTATAAATGGAGACTCAAAACATAATTATGGAAAGAATAAGTTTCCTTTCTAAAGACAGACTGTGTTTTCTTCACAGGAATCTGGTATTTTTGTTATGTTATAATAATGTTGGACAAAACAGTTTGTCAGAACTCTTCTCATATGAGATGCTGCTCCTTTAAAAAAGGAGTTATTCCTAACACTCGTGGAAAAACTAGAAACAAGCCAAATTTACAACAAAAGTGAAACACCAAGTTACAGTAGATCAGCTCGAGAGAATATACTGCTGTCATCAGCAGTGATAAATGTGCAGGCTGTGAAGCATGGGCACGGACACACCGAATAATTCTCACCGAGAACATGGCGTGCCAAATTACTTATGCACTGCGGGGATAATGATGCCAAAATTATGTTCAGTCCTGAGAAATATGAGAAAGACCTGAGAAAAATGGAAATCACTGAATTTAGTGAAAGAGGTAGAATAATAATTTTCTATAAGGCTGCTTTACTTATAAATTGAAAATGTTGTCAACCATTTACCTTATCTCACATTTTAAAACATTTCCCCATCAGGAGAGCAGTCTGCAGTTCAAAAGCTCTCTTTCTGGGGTTCAATACGCTGGAAGATGGGGTCCAAAGGGCAGAGTAGGCTCTAAATCAATGTTGATTAAGCGCATGAGTGAATGAAGCACAAAATAATCAAGAAGATCAGCTTCCACCCTCAGCTCATTTTCTGCAAGTGAAAGGGCTCCTTGTGCCTTAGAAACAGTTGAGGAGGTAAACGCCAGAGGTTGTCAACCATCAGCTAAGGCACAGCAACCCATACACGTGTGTCCAGGTGGGCTTTTTTATTCCCCATGGCAGACATTCCCATCAGAGTCGCCTCCTCCTCCTCCTGCAAAGGAAAATACCCTAGACATTGCTCTCCTGGCAGCCCTATGGATTCCTTCCAAGAGGCAATTCTCACTGGAATTCCATGCAGCAGGCGGAATCAACACACTGGATACAGACATAGCAATGGAAGAGAGTTTTAAAATGCAGAAGTGTTTTTAAAGCCCAGAGGAAGGAAATACAATGAGGAGGGCACATCAGGCAAATCCACAATGGAGAACATTCCACAGGATGACTGCCGGTGCCCAGGGATACTGGGGCCTGGGATGCAGATACCATGAAAGAGAGGAAGGCTGAAGAACATTTTCCTATTAACAGAGATCAAAGATCCATAAAGACCAAGTACAGGACGGGATCCTAGATCCGACCCTGGGGCAGGAAGATGTTTTGTGAAGGATGTTATCAGGGAAACTGAAGCTAAGGAAGACCCATAGAGCACTTAATAATATTTATCAATGCTCAACTCCCTGACTCTGATAATGGGGCAGTATTTATCTAAGTGAGTAGCTTGCGCTTCAGAATTAGGGTAGAGGTTATGAAGTAGGTAACACTCAAACAGTTGTGCATATGAGTACACGGACATACAAAAAAGCACAGTACTATCTACACATAAAAAAAGCAGAATCTGTGCCGAGTACATGATTTTTCTCTGTACCATTCATATAATTTGCTATGAGATTAATTTTTTTTTTTTTTTTTTTTTTTGTTACGGAGATCGAACTCTTGACCTCACACTTGCCAGTCAGGAGCTTATGCAGCTGAGCGAAATCCCTGGCCCTTAAAATTATTTTTAAGTAAAAACTTTTTAAAATAGTTTAAAATCTCTAATATATATATATGGATATACATATCATATACATCCATATATATAAACAACATTCTTATTGTGTTTGTACAGTACAAATAAAACAATGTTATCTGTCAGCCAAAGACACTGATAGTGTTTCCCTGCATAGGCTTAGGGGGAAGGTGAGGCAGCAAAAAAGGTGAATGAAGGAATTAATGAATGAAAGAACACATGAAAGGTACATTACGCAGACCCATGTTGTTGTCATAAACTAAGAAACAGGATCATTCCCGATCCTCCCAGATGGGTGAAAGGCCCCTGCCCACGCGACACACAAACAAATCTGAAGCTTGGCAAAAAGGCAACTACTGACCCTGAGGCACAGTTCAGGAGCCTGGCTCCTGTCAACAGGTCAGTGGGCCTCAGTGATTACCGCCTACACCCAATGTCACCCAAGTTAAGTAAATAGGGAAGTTAAAGCAAATCCTGCGAACTCCTCACTCTGCCCTGAGCTGAGGAAATGGACCCTCCCAACACAGGCCTCCGGCTACGGAGGTTTCCTCCTCATCAGTAAATGCCTCACTGCCCACAACACGCAAGCCACCAAATCAAAAGCCTGCTGCTCATATAAAACCCACACTACAACTAGGACTTTCAGGGTCAGACAGGATGTAAAATGGATTCTAACCCAACGTATACCTGCTCCTGTCTATGTTAACATACGAGTGTCCCAAGCTGTCTGTCATGCAGTGAGCATGTGTGATAGCCCCATGTAGCAATATGCATCCTCCCCAGGGGTGGACATCCTCCCTAAAGGCCTGAGAACTAGAAACTTCTAAACCATGCTGCAGAATATATAAGGGTCTAGCAGCTACGTTAAAAAACAAAGGAAATAGTTCACAGTATCTTTGATCATCCTTGCAAGACAGCCACAGCCCCTACATCCACACACTTCCCCCAAACATGGGTATCTCCAAGATTCCAAGGGTCCTTTGACCTAATGACATTTTTAGGACTTTGGAATGCACCACTAAGGTTCTCTGGCAATTCCCATACTGGGCTAGGCAGTAAGAGAGTTTTATGAGTTATCCAAAAGTACAAATTCCTGAACTACTCACGAACATTTACAAGTGCCAGCCTTGCCCCAAGCAGACACAAATCTCTCTCTGATGGCAGCCTGCTGTGGTGTCTGCCCCATGTCCATCCCATGTCCGCAGCATGCAGTGGAGTTGGCTTGACCCAGAGCTCTTGTCCCTGATGCAGTGACAACAAGCCACACAATGCAAGTAGCCAGGACTTGGCTTAGTACACCTGTAAGATAAGAATGATGGGAATAGCAGGACCATCTCTAAAGTTTGCTCCATTTAAATTCTTAGGGGGAAAAAAAACCAGGAAAGCACCACAAAGAAATTCCAGAACATCACTTTTCAGTGAAGCATATAAAGCAAAGGAAGAGTTTTCCTGACCATGTCCCACTGATGATAGTGGTGGGGATGATGGACGAAGGGAAGAATCATTATGTGACAGATCCGAAGATGCTCTTATTTTCCCAAGAATAACACATCCCTGACTTATAGGCTTACACTGTAGAGTGGATAATCAGCACTAAACAAATAACGTTGTCATTCAGCCTCATATAGAATGAGCTGGGTATTCCCCATCTGCCCCTACAGACATGGCTCTGCCTTGTGTTCTTTATGCCACAGGACACTGACCTGCCCATCTGTACCAACAAGGCCCCTCTCCCTTCTGCTCCTGGCTGATATCAGCCCAGGGGACCTTGCAGCCAGGCAGAAGGGAGCGAGACTGAGGTGAAGGGTGTAGCGGCACACAGCACCTGCTGCATAAGGCTAGCTGCTTCTATTGAGAACTAAAGCACAGGTAGTTGGTCCTTACTTTCACATGGTGCTTCCGTGATCTCTCATCCTCTCTGTCTCAGCTGCTGCCTGCAGTCCTCCCAATATACACTTGATTGCTTTTTA